GTTATATGAGCTATTTATCCAACTTCTCTTCTGCAATGAAAGGTACTGTCCGATGGTGATGAGTTCTGGGATTCTTGGGCACTCTTCGCTTCTAATCTGCTAAAGCTTTCCTATCTTCTAGAAGACTTAAATCATCTTTCTTAGATACTTAATACCCTTTCTCTCCTTAATGATCCCCAAAAAAAAAATCTTATCTTTCTTCCTCTTTTTTTAATTCAAGAAGAGGTTCACTTTCACTGAAATTTTACAAAGCATTTTCTTTGCCAGGGTATTATGTACCCATGTTTATTTCTTTGATAGAACTACAGGCTTTCTTGATTTTAGTTTTCTTGGGGTTTTTAGTTTGTTTTCTTTTTTGTTTTTGTTTGGGTTTTTTTTAAATTTAAATTTAAAGCCATTACTTTTTTTGTTTAAGTTTTAATTTTCATCTCAATTTTTCCTAGAATGGATGCTCTTAGATCCATTTGTTTTCCACAGCAATGCTATGTTTCATTCTGATGAAATACCCTGAGATGTAAGGTGCTGCGGTAGCCCTGCTCATCAATTCTGTGCACAATCTTTTGTGGTTTGCAGTGTGGCATTTATAATCCATTTCTTTTTCTGAATGCATTATCTTGGCCCTTGATGTTTCAAGCAGAGCCTGCAGCTCCATGTAATGCTTTTTGTAGGCTCCAGCTTGTACTACATATACTTGTCTGCCTTAGGTACTTTCTCTCTTTTATGAGTGCAGATTTTCTTTCCTTGTGTATTTTACCCTTTTCTTGTGGTGTTTTAGATTATCTGCCATCTCTACAGTGCTAGGCCACCACTTACCCTGTTTTTCTCCTGATTTGCAAATTCTGATTGCTCTGTCAAAGGCTAATTTTTGTGTCATCGAATCATCTCTTTTTGAGTGTTTGGTAGAACGAGTCTCTCTTCATAGAATCATAGAAACCTAAAATGGTTTGGGTTGGAAGGGGTCCTTGAAGATCATCTTGTTCAAATCCCCTGCCATGGGGGGAGTTTAACTAAATGACGTGGCTCACAGCGCCATCCAACCTGGCCTTGAACATCTCCAGGGTTGGGGCATCCCCTGCTTCTCTGGGCAGCCTGTTCCAGTGCCTCACCACCCTCACAGTAATATCTAATAAATCTTCCTAGTATCTAATCTAAACCTACTCTCTTCCAGTTTGAACCCATTCTCTTCACAGAAAGCTTCTTATGGGTATTGCCCAACATTGATCCATGTTTTCACTTCCTTTCAAGCTCTGTTTATACTTTTTATTTTTCAGGACTTCTCAAAATCTGTCATAAAATTTGTGGCTCAGCTACTATGTCTCAGGAAAAGTACACCTGATAAAAGTAGTAAGTCCCTCAGAACTAGCCATACTCAGAAACAGAACCCTCCTCTGACTCCCCTCTTTATTTTTCAGTGGCACAACTCTGTTGCAGTTACAGACTGAAGTAGGGGTTAAATATTCCTCAATTGCACCACTTTTTTGAGAGCTTTAGCCCCTTAACTGCTCCATTTAGTGGATGAGGGAAAGGCTGTGGATGTTGTCTACCCAGACTTCAGTAAAGCCTTTGACACTGTCTCCCACAGCGTTGTCTTGGAGAAGCTGGCAGCCCATGACTTGGATATGTGCACTGTTCATTGGTTAAAAAACTGGCTGGATGGCCAAACCCACAGAGTTGTGGTAAATGAATGACAAGAAAGACCTTGAGGTGCTGGAGCATATCCAGAGTAGGGCAATGGAGTTGGTAAAGAGGCTTGAACATAAATCCTATGAGGAGTGACTGAGGAAGCTGAGGTTGTTTAGCCAGGAGAAAAGTCTCAGGGGAGACCTTATCACTCTCTAAAACTACCTGAAAGGAGGTTGTGGTGATGTGGGGGTCAGTCTCTTCCCACAGGTAACTAGCAAAAGGACAAGGGAAAATGGCTTCAAACTGTGCAGGGGAGGCTTGTGTTGGATATTAGGAAAAATTTATTCGCTGAAAGAGTAGTTAAGCATTGGAACAGGCTGCCCAGGGAAGTGGTGGAGTCACCATCCCTGGAGGTATTAAAAAAGTGAGTCGACATGGCACTTCGTAATTTGTATTAGTGGGCATGATGGTACTCAGTTGAAGGTTAGACTCGATGATGTTAGAGGTCTCTTCCAACCTTGATGATTCTATGACTCTTTGCCTCAGGGACAGTTCGAGCAGCTCTACTCCAGGTACCATGTTATTAGCAAACCAGCCGCAGCCAGTGAGGACACCGAACCTGTGTGGTTCAGTGCCTGTTCTGCCATGGAGGAGCACTGCCAGTGTGTGAGTGAACATCGAGGGATGACACTTGCGAGGGCTGTCTAGCAGAGATGAGAACAAATGTGCCCGAAGTCCCTAATTCGCCTGTGTAGTTGCTATCGTGTGTTAAAAGGCTTCTAGGAGCCTGGTTTCAAGTGAGGTAATATGGAGAAGCTGGGTCTAAGTCTGTGCTGAAGAAAAAAAATCTCTAGAAGCCATGAGCCCCCATTTTGAGTAGGTTTTCACAAATATTTGTTCAGAAGTGAAAATATTGGAATTCTTTGCTCATCTTTCCATGTTTCTGAAATGCAGAGCTCATCACGCTGGGTCCTCTGGGATTCCCTGTATCTAATAATATCTCATTTGCTTGTAATCTCTACTGTGGCTGATGTGAGGAGTGAGGTGGTTCAGCACAAAAGGAATATTACCCTCTTCACGGCTGCTCAATCTTTCTCTCCCTCTCACTCTTATATGAAATAAGTAATGCACTTTTCTGACTGTCATAAAATATCCTATAGAGCTCAGCTAAAGCAATGAGACCTATAATAATTCCTCATGTGTTTATTACAGCAGCAGCCAGCCTAGTGATGGGAGCTGTAGCAATATCCAGTGGAGACAGCTGAGTTAGTCTGTGTTGAATTGTTCAGGGACTGGAGAGAGTGCAAACAACTATGCACTATTTTTATGATAAGAATACTAGATTGTTCTTTTTCAGTTAAAAGACAGCAGCTTTCTTGTTCTTCTGCTGAGTAGCTGAATTGTTGAAAGCATGCATAAACAACATGTTTCTTCACCTGGCTCTGGCTGATGATTGTGTGGCATTTTAATCTAGAATATCTCTGTGTTAATCATCATCCTGGTGTGCAGCAGAAAGGCTGTAGCCTGCTGGGTGAGTTTAGAGCCTAAGTACAGCAGACCCCTTGAACCTATGTAGGTTTCTTAGCAAGAGAAACCAGGAGATATTGTCTCATCCAGCCTGTCAAAATCATCTGACAGATGGTTTTCTACTGTTTTTGTTTTGGTTTGGTTTGTTTGTTTTGGTGTTTGTGTGGGGTTTTGTTTGTTTGGTTTTGTTTTTTTTATTTTTTAAACTGAGATTCCATCTTCAAAGGGTTAGAAACCTACATCTTCTTCAGAGGAATATCTAGGGCACTGCTGGTGTCCATCTCAATTGTGAGACCATTGCACAAGCAAGTGATAGGTTCGCCTGGACACATGTTCACAACAGAGCACACTTAACCAGTTGCTCTCATTGCTCTCATTACTCTCACTCATTCTCCTGTTGTTTTGTGGTGCTCTACAGAGGCTTTGGGTTTAGGCTGAAATGAGAGTACGTTATGCTCAGGCTGGGCTCCCAGTGACTTCCAGTGAGACCAAGGTGATAGCCTAGGCTGTGTTTGAGTGTCGGAACTGTTCTTGAGGAAGATCAGTCAGCTAATAATTGTTTTTTTGATGTGACAGCTGGCAAAAGAAAAAAAATTATCTGCTTTTTTTCTTTTTCTCCTCTATCTCCACCAACTATAAGGGAAGCAGTGAAGTAAAGAGTGTTACTTTCTGTGGGAAGTGAGTTCTGCAGGCAATGGCAATATTTCAGTACAGGCCAACAATTATTGATTGCAACTACCTAGCCAAAGGTCAGGTTTTAAATATCTCTCATTGCCTGAGACCATTCTGGTTGCCTAGCTTGAAAAAAAAAAAAAAAAAAAGAAGATGACTTTGAACAAGATGCAAGAAGGAGCTTAAAGTGATTGTGAGAAGGAAAATCCGTCTTCTCAGAGGCGATAAAGAGAAGGGCAAAATTAACATTACAAACCCCTTGGGTAAGGGAGAAATGGAAATGAGAGAAAAAGTATTTTAAGTAGCAGAACAATGTTAGTAGGAGAGCAAATGAATACACTCACCAATACATTGGGAGTGGAAATGACAACAAGGTTTCTCACCACAAGGGAAATATAGTTAATTGATCCCATGCCTCAAAGCTTCTGCTAATCTCCTGCAGAGACCAAGAAGAATTTTTCTTCTGTACAACTTGGCTTTTGGTTATTCTTCTGCCCCTGCACCTGCTTCTGAAACAGCAAAGGTTTGACCACAGCTCAAATGGAGAGAGGAAGGCTGTTTTTTGCAGGGCAAGATGCAGTTGCAGGTTTTGCTGAGGAAGCGCTGAAATGCTTGGCTGGATTGCCTTGTTCCTATTCTCAAAGTTTTGAACATCACAGACAAAAAAGGAATTTTTTTGCTGCCAGGTCAGAATCAGTAGGGTTTTTTCAGCATGGGACAGGGGTTGATGTCTCCTGTCCTTTCCCTAGGCACTTTCTAGGGTCTGTGGGTTATCTTCCGCTGTAGTCTGTTGTTTCCTATGCCCTGTGCTGTCCAGAGGCACCTTGCCTGCCCGAGCTCCATTGACTGCTGATTTCAGGAGACAGCTCCTGACGATTCAGCCAGTCCTATGCTCTACCTCGTTACATTTTGGTCTCATGATTCAGAAATGTAGGTTCTTCAGACCTTGTTCTCCTTACGTGCATCTAATAATGGCGTACTTATAGAGCTGATACAGAGGTCACTGAAGTCACAAGATGGGTTTTCTCATGACCCTAAGGAAGAAAAGTAAAATTATGTCAATTATCAGAGGTAAGTATTATTTTATATAGTTTAAGTATTGTTTTTGCTTTCACTCAAGACTCTTGACAAAGTGAGAAAAAGCTGAATAAAGCTTTTCTTTCTTTTTGTATTTCTTTTCAGGCTCCATCTATGAGATGTTTGGAAATGAATGCTGCCTGTCAACAGGAGAAGTCATTAAAGTTATTGGCTTCAAAATTAATAAGCTCATAGCAACTATCTGTGAGAATAATGAAGTCAACCGGTTTTCAGCCAAAGTGGAATTACCACTAAATTTCCCTGGTATAGTATTTCATGCACACATGTTTTTGAGGAATTATAGTCCTGAGTAATCACCTTTGTTCATTTTATTGATTTGCTGTCTTGATTGATATTTGAGGTTGCAACTGCTGAGTTGGATACTGTCAAGGACACAGTTTTATCAGAAGATACAACACGCAATCAACTAATTTCTAAATTTCAACTCTTACAGTTCGTTTTCAAACCTGGATAGGAATGATTAATATTATAATATTTGGTAGTAACACTTTCTATACTTGGGGTCACTCAGTCTAAGAATTACAACAAAAATTTTCTTTTCATTTACTTCTGACTTTGCCAAACTTTGTCTGAGCTGAAATTTTCCTTGCTGTGTGCCCAAACGATAAGTTATTTACCATTACTACATATGTATTTTATTATTTTTGGATGTAAAATATTTTCAGTACTTTGTTACATTAGGCTTTTATTTTAATGATTTATTTTAATTCCAATGCCAGAGTGACTGTTCCATGCCTAGAAACAGGATTAGAGGGAAATGGATGTGTTTTTCTGCTTAAGAACTACTCTAACTTAATAATAACTCTAACTGTTCTACAGATAAATCCAAATGTAGTCATATTTTGGAGGGTGGACTTGAAATTTGGCATGTGGTACTGACTTGTTATTTGAAATATATTTTCCTCTGTCCATGTTGCCTTGTTAGGGAGAGCTGGTCAAGTACTGAACCCAGGGTACCTAGTTCATCACATGTTATATTTATTAATTCAATAATTTATTAATTATTTATTAATAATTTATTAATTGAATTCTGCTCTCATCTCAATTCCTCTACTGTTAGGGCCCAGCAGTGTTAAATAGGAAAGTGAATGGAGTGCAGAGGGAGAAGTGATGGACTGTGAGTATCCCATATGTGGAAAATAGAGGAGGCAGACTAGGTTGGGAAAATGATAGAAAAAGATTGGACCTCAGAGCAGAGCAGAAGGATCAAGACTTGCCATGCAAAGATCAGGGACTGGAGACAGAGGTGCAGGTGATTTCAGCAGCAGAGGAGTATCTCACCCACACACAAATATATAAGTAGGGCATTTCCTATGCTGGGAGTCTTGCAGGCAGCAGAGGTAATAAAAGCTGATTGAAGAGAGGAGATGAGCAGGCTGGAAAACAGCATAAGACCAGTGGAATATGGGAGGGAGTCTGTGTAGGTCTAGGAGAGACGTTATGAGACACCTGCAGGTAGGAAACACTGGGACAGAGCACACACAGGACACAGCAGACTTCAAGAGTCTGAGATCATGTCCAGGACTCACTTTGGCCTTCAGTCTAGCTAATGAACTGAATGAGACTACAGTTTGGGGGGGAGGGGGAGGGGGGGAGGGGAAGTAAACATTTAATTAGCGCTGTATTGTACTGCAAGCACATGGGAGGATAAATTGATGCTGCATGGGGAACATGATATGAGTGTTTCCTAGTGTTTGAGTGCTTGACTTAATAACCTCATTGATGCTCTAATGTCTTGCTGAGCATGTGAGTGTGTAAATGCAAGCATTTATAGGGTTTAGATTAGGACAGTGTTGAAACTGGTATGTGCTTTCTCTGCAGAGGGAGACAAGACACGCTTCTTGAAGCAAATATAATGTAAAAGTGCATGGGAATGCAATGTTTTATCTGGTTTCCATATAAAAATATCTTCTACCATGCCTTTATTTCAGATTTCTCTCTGAAATAGTTGCATATGTATCGTATTTGCCCCTCAAGTAGATGCTCAGTTTACTTTCATGTATTTCTTTCTCAGTGAATCAGAACCATTTGTATGACCACTTATCAAAAGACTTTTTCTGGAATGCCATTTTCAAGCACTAGTAGGACCCAAATGTAGGATCAAAGATGTTTTAATTCTCTGTGGCTGTCCAGAGATATTGAAATATGATTCTCCTGTGAACTCTCAAGATACTTGGTATTTTTCTTGAAATCCAGGCTTCCTTACTATTATTAAAATTTCTTCTATCTCTAAAATAGATATACCTATAGGAACTCATATTCTAAATCCTGATTGGCAGATGGGGTCGAATCCTAAAATATCCAACACAACAGAGGGATAAAAATAATCCTACATTTGTTAATGCTGAAACTCCTGATCTTTAGAACAGAATGACTTGTGATTTCATGTGCTTGAACCTGGTGAATCAGGTTTTGTTTGCATTCAAGTGATCAGTTTTACAACTTGGCATTTGGATGTTGTTGCCCTATTGAGCACATTTTCAAATTTGATTTAATCACTACAATTTGCATGCATAGTTATGAACTCTCACAACCAGTGTTCTAGAAAACTGTGTTATTTCCCCTGAAAAATAAATTCTGAGTTCGTTTTGCTGAAATTTATCATCATTACACTCCACGTGATGGGTATTGCTGAATAGCAGCACTGAAGAGGGGTATAATGACACTTCTTATTAGCCCAACAGGGAGCACCTCTTTCCTATTTCTCTCTTTATATATACTCTTATGTATTCAAGAGCTATTTGGTAAGATGTAAATTTGTCATTTCTCTAATTTAGTTCTTAGCTGAAGAACTATTCTGCTCTGCAGAGACAAGGTTTCCCAGTCTTTGCTTCTTCTTGACCTTTTTTCCTCTCCACTTTATTGCATGCACATGCTAAGTTCTGACTGAGACATTGCACATGAAACATGGCTTTTCCCTGTCTCCTGAACAAAGCACAGAACTGAATTGCAGATGATCTTTTTCACACTGCCATTGAACTTGATTCAATAAAAATATCCACAGGTCTTTAGGAGACTAACACTGTATCTACATTATACGTACAGTGCTCTCTTGCCAGTGTTGATGCAAAGAAATCTTTTGCTTTGGTACTATTTTCCTATTCCTCTGTCATGAGTTTTCATTTGTATGCAGTGGGCTCATGTATGCTTTCACCATGTTCATGCTGGCATAAATAAGCAATGCTCCTATTTAGGTTACTCTGAGGATAGCATCTCTGTGAGTGAAGAACTGGGCTCATTGGCTTTAAATGAACCTTACTCTTTGTCTTTCTGAACGTATTTACAGCCTGCAGAATTCCTTTTTTTTCTGCTCTAGCAAATCAGATCCTTGATAAAGGCCTAATCTGCCCTTTGCATTAGAGAAACCACTGCAACGGCAAGTTCACTATCAGTGTTACATTGTTTTATCCTCATTCTAATTTTTTCTTTTTCATGCCTCAGAGGGCCAGGTTATTCTTTCTGTGCTTATACATTGGGTAAAAAAAAAAAAAAAAAAAAAAAAAGAAGTCTGCTATTACTCTAGACACTTCAATGGCTACATCTAACCACATTTCGAACTGCAGTTTTCACTGCTAGCAAATTAGCAGACAGGTAATTTGCAGAACATCTGAACTGTGTGCCAGCGCAAATGATTACATTTCTTTCTGTTGTATTCCTTCTTCTGCAAAAATATTTCTGGACTGACCTCGTTCTTACGAGGTCCCTGGCTGTTGCTGCTGCTCGTTCCTGTGTGGTCTGACACACTCTGCGAGTCATAAGACAGAAGACTCGTCCGTGACCGTGCAGCACATCTGTGAAAAAACAGGGATTAGGAACTAGGAGGCTCATCTGAACAAGAGATGATGTAGAGCTGGCCTTTGGAATACTATGGGGAGAGGAGAATGCTGGAGCAGAGGATTACCTTGGGGAACAGAAACTACTAGTCTGGGACAGGTGATCTTTCTGCTCTTCTTGCAGACTACCTGCTACTCTACTAGGAAAGCATAACTACTGATTTTCTCAGTTTTCTGTGGGGAAAAGAGAGTAAAAAAATACTCCTTTCCTTCAGGACTCTAATTAAGACCAAAAATGGGAAGTCAATAAGGCTGCAGTGTGGTACATTTTAACACTCTCAAACCGGTAAAAGAGAGCTGCATATACTGTTCTGTAAAAAGGTGGTAAAAATATCCTTCTATCAAAACAGGCTTTCCCATAGCACATTTAATCTTGTGATCCTCAGGCTATGTTTTCTCTCCCATACCAGTGAAAATAATTTTCTCAAATTCTCAAACTCTCTGTCAATCTGTATATCAATTAGTAAAACTTTTCTTGAAAATGATGGGCCGATTAGGTTTGGGTCTTATTAATTATAATGTTGTGGCTAAGCTGACACTTGACCTAGTGAAATTTCATTGGTACAGAGGCTTCGTGGAAAGGAACAGTTATATATTCCTGTAGTTATTTTATGTGTGCAACCAAACCATTGGGCATCAGTGCACTTTGTAGACCACATTATGTTTAGAAAGTAGATCTGTAGGAGCAGTAATGCCAGATCTTGATAAACCAGATGGACTTTTTTCGAGGTTTGCTATTTCCATCTGTTTTACCCCCTAATAGTCCACCAAGATCTCTTAGGAAAGTCTAAGTGAATTTGATTTATTCATTTTATGATTTATGAAAAAGTACAAAAATATTTTTGTTTGACCTCAAAATGTCTAAACTTTACTGTCTCAAACTTACCATATGTCTCCTTCTCCTGGAGATTCTGTGTTATCTTAGGTTTGGAAAACATTTGGTTTTGCAATTTGATTCATAATGATTTTAATAAGGTTCTGAATGGTTCCAGGTAACACTGTTTGGTTTTTTTGTGGTTTTGTTTTGTTTTTTACATATATATAGTTGCAAAGAGAGCATTTATAAGGTTTGATATCCTTTTTAAGGAATACAGTCTTAGGGAGACCCTGCTTCCATGCAGGCCCCTCAGTTGTATTGATTGTGGTCAGTAGTGAAGATCAGTAAGGGAAAATGTGTGGGAGGAAATAAGGGAATAGCTTATTTTTAACCAAAGCAATTTTTCAAACAATCCAACAATCAGGGAGGGTGTAAAGAAGGGAGTGAGTGTCTTCCCAAGATCCTGCAGCAACAGTGTGTTTTGGCAGCATCCCACCTTGCTGAGATTTAAGTATTTGTTGGGACATCTTGTACTTTTCTCACGTTCTGGTTCCCACAAGAAGGGAGTTGTGGCTAGTGTGGACCCAGTTACCACACTAAGTTGGCTGCAGGCAGTTGCACTTAAACCTTGCAGACTTGGCTTAAACTAACAACTCCTGAGATATGGAGCTGCCGTGAAAGAGTCTCTGGTGGTACCAACCAGCACTCCTTGATTCCCCATCCCATCCTTCCTCTGTAGGGTCCAGAGGAGCAAAAGTGTGGAGCAGCGTGGGTCCATAGGATTTTTGCTAGTTGGCTTCGGGAGATAAAGGGAGAAAAGGCACAGTATCTCCCAGGGATCTTGGCTTCTTTGTCATTGTACCTGCAGCTATTGTTTAAGTTGTGGTTGGCAAATTTGGCCTAACAATAACCTCCATGCTCAGTTATATTCACTCAGAAGCAAGTCTTTGTCAATGCTGTCTCAGGAAGCTGCACTGTAATTCCATGAGGCAGCATTCACAATGCTGCCACACCGTGTGAAGAAGACAGTTGAATCACACAGTTCAGCTAAGCCCTGCATTTTAGTCTTCTAAACCCTCCAGTTTATCTTGCTTCATGAAAACACTCACACAAATATAGAAATGTACACATTTTTCTTGCAATGCAAACTCCTAATGAGACAGCTCCAAGGGGCATGATTAACATGAAATAATAATGTCCCTAGGGGATAGGGAGGCTCGGATACAGCTTCTGCCTTGCAAAACTTCAACATTTTAATTGCCTTGTGATGGCTGGAGTGCTACAACACACAGCCTTTGAATTAATCCAGCTGGTGGACTGAGCTATCAGATATGCTAAAATCTATTTGCTCTTTCTTATCTGTAGGTGCTTCTTTTTTATTTGTGTTGTATCTTTAAGCATACTTTGTCTAGGAATCCCCATTCTGTGTGTGGAAGGTTATGTAGTGCTGATGTTTAGGCAGAAACCTATCCAGCATTCGCTTATTGCTTTAATGTTGCCCTTAAAGGCTGGCTTTCTGAGAAGACAGATAAGAATTTAAGGTAATTTTTCTTTATTCTGTGGCAAAGAAAAACATAAAAATGTTGGATGTCAGAAATTAGATGCAGAGTAGAAAGGGTTAAAAATTCCAGCTGCCTATACCTTGTACCATGCAGTTGATATTATCTTTGTAGAGTCAGATTTCTAGCAACTGAAGTGTCCTCTATGAATTGTTTGATGTGCTTTGCTCCCCATTTTTATTACACTCACAGTCTAAAATTTGGTGTGACTTGCTTTGTATATTTCCCTTTTTATAATGCAAGTTTTTTGCTCTTAGGTCTTTATAAGGTTGTGGCAGATAAAACTCCATATGTCAGCATTGAAGAAATTACTAGAAAAGTCTCTATTGGGCCAACAAGATTTGGCCATCCATGTTTCTACAGCCCTGAGGATATAAAACTGGCAAACTTCACTATCAAACGTGGTGAGCAGATCACCTTCACCTCTGTGGGAGAGCTCAATGGAACAATGTCTGTGAACTGTGTCATGGTCAGAAATAACCAGACCCATTCCTTTACTTTGCCCCTTTCACAAGAAGGAAAATTCTATGAGTGCGAAGATGACCAGATATACACCCTCAAAGAAATTGCAGAATGGAAAATCCCTAAGTGCAGAAACCGGATTGTCAAACTTTTCAATAGTTTACATATGTGGGATTCCTCTAATCCACTTCCTGAGAATTTTGATGGCTGCTTGATCCTCATGCCTGTCTATGAAGTGCAGGCAGTAATGAAATGTAAGTAGGAATCAAAATCAATGTTCTGTTAAACTTGGTGTAGCACAGTACCCTTAAATACACAACATTTGCTTGAAATAACCAGGAAAGATTCAATTTATCAAAAGTTCCTGATCCGTGTTTGCCACTGATGATAGTTTCAAGATGAAGAAAGATAAAAATAATACTACCTTTATTATTCCTTTATCATCTGTTAATTCAGATTGCTACCTTGAATTTCCTTCTGTTACCATTTTACTGATAACTACAATTAAATCCTCACTGCAAATAAAATATATCACATAGTGAAAAGGTGGAGCTTGGGAACTCTGTTCAGTTCTCTGATTCTCTTTCTTTGCATCTCAGACTTTGGCCACAGAGAAGCCAAATAATTATTTATTATGGCTATGGCTAAGGAGGTAGAAAAAGAATATAGACATACATGTTGCAATACACTTAATTGCCATTTACTTTTCAGAATAAGGATGCCATAGAAAGAAAAATCATTTTACTTTCTTGCAGAAACAAATATCAATAGAATATAAACAGAAGAAACTCATGGACAATTTTTGAAACCTCTAGGTTTGAGGAAACAGAAAGATTACAAAACCAATATCTTTAAAAGCTGTAATTTATAAGTTTTTATCTAAAAACCCCAAAAATATCCATGGCACGTTAAGACTGTTCTAGTTTTTCCACCAAAACATTGAAACAGCTATGTACTAATTGCAGGATAGTAGCTTAGTTTCTGGAAAGGTTTTGCTACCTGTTATATTTACTGGAAGCAAACCAGTGAGCTCTATAGAAATTAAATCCTAATATAAGTATGTCATTCGTGAGGATATTGAGCAGGAAATCTTTTCATAATTGAGCTTTCTCTGTTGAATGATGTAAGCAAATGGATAAAAGAAAAAGAAATAAAAGTGGGCAGAGACTGTTAACACAATATACTATAGTTGTTATATGCGTATTGTACAAGATGTGCTGCTGTGTGCTTTAATGTATGATTTTGGAAAATATATCTTCACAAGATAAAGTACTCCATTTGCTATAACTCCAGCTAGATTCAGGAATCTAGCTCATCTCCTGAAGCTGGATTCACTTAGTTATGCTTCTATACCCACTTAGATATTTGTGCAGAACCAACAGGAATTTAATGTCCCTAAAAACTTTCAGAAGATGCAGAAGTGTTTGGTATTCACTTGTCTTCCAATAAGTTATTCCAGCGAGAGTTGTATTTGTTGTTTTTATTTTACATTTTGTAGTGTTCTCAACCTTTAAGAAGCATGAAATGTGTCCTAAATAACTGTTTAATACAAACTTGGAAAGTAGGCTTCATGGTACATGATTAACTACTTTCTTGTGGACCATGAAAAATGGATTTTCACCATTTTTAGAAGAACTCTAAATAGACACAAGATAAAGTATGAGAAATACTATCCACTATTCAATAAAAAAGATTCCTGATAAGAGGGATAACTGATTACATTTTCACAGGCTGTCAGCAGGAATCCTCTATACTTTTCATTCTTAATAATGAACAAGTTATGTGTGTGGAACTTCCCCAAATGCTCCTAGAAAACTTTCATTTTCATTAGCCATTTCTCCTTTGTTATCTTTCCCTTGTAGTGCTTAGGATGTTTGTCACCTGAAGGTGTCAATGTGACAAAAGCAGAGTTGGAACAAACAGATCCTGAATCCTTGTCACAGAACTCTGTCATATAAAATACACTTGATACTGACAGTATAAGTATAAAATACTGGTATGTCCTGCTACGAGGAAATGTGAACCCAGGGTATACTATCCCTGTGTATGGGTCTATGCAGAATAAGTATTATTGAAGGAAGTAATTAAATATTATTTGCTTGTTAAATTTTACTGCCCTGATCAGGTATCTGTGGTGCCACTGATTTGGAACCAAATTCCTAAACAAGCCTTAATTTCACAGTCAGCTATGTGCTTGGAAGTCTTGCATTCAAAATTTTGCAAGTTCAGTTGTGATAAAATTGCTGTTGTTCCCTGACCGATGGTTAAATTCAGTGGCTCAGTTCTGGTAGTGAATAAAACCAGTGAATATAACAGGTGATGCAGAAAAGGATTTCCACAGAGGGGCATTATAGTAAAATGTCCTAATTTGTAAACAATAACCTTAGACTTTGTTACAGAAAGGTTTTGCCCCCCCCTTTTTTTTTAAGAGATATTATTTCCTAGTAATTACAAATGTTTTTATTATAAATATCAAAACACCTTATTTCTCCCAGACTGGCCATAGCAACAACATGTGTTAAAGGATTCAAATGTATTTATTTATTGAAAGTGTTTTCTCACTCATTTCTTTATAGAAACCGTAAGTTACTATGAAATGAAAGAATAGAAATAGCACCCAAGAAAAATACGATAAGCAGCTGATTAAATTTGGAGGTGCTGTGGGGAAAATAGCGAACTAGATATTTTTCCCATTCCTTTTTCTTAAGCTTTTCATTCACTCACATAACTTATTCTCTGTCTTCCTTTATGTGGTCTTATGCATATCTGATAACCATATATCTCAAATATCAACAGTTAGACTTGCTGACCATATTCGTGGTGCATGTTTACACATGGAGGGGCACACCTCAGGGAAGGTACTTTTAGTGTCTGGCCAACAGGACTTGTATTTTATTCCAATGTCAGTTTGAAAACAAAACTTAATATATTTCTTTTCCTTTGCAGTTCGAAAGGACATAGTTCATATCCTCTCAGATCTAGATGTTGAGGTCAAGGATATAACAGACTGTTATGATATCAGCTCTTTCCTTCAGCCACTGTCTTTGGAAGATGTATTTGAGAGAACAAGCATGGAATTTCCCATGGTGGCTGAGATAATGGAAGGGCCTTCAGAGAGCCAAAACCCTTATAACTTACTGTCTACAGGGAAAGAGATTATCATCTACAAAAAGTACCAGGCAGCAAGAGTCCTAGCTTCTGAGATCAGAAGTGATTCTCCCAAAAGACATTTTTTAATCCCTATGAGCTACAAAGGAAAGTTCAAGAGAAGACCTCGGGAGCTTCCAACTGCGTATGACTTAGAGATAGCAAGAAGTGAAAAGGAACAGCTTCATGTTGTAGCAACTAAAGCCTTTGCTTCCCCTCATAAAGAGTTTTTTTCTGTTTCAGTTGGAGATCAATTTCTAGTTCAGCAGCGCCAGACTAGTGAAATTCTTTATGAGGGAAGAAAGAAACTTGTAGATGTTTTAGCTTGTGAGCAAATACTAAGTGATACATATAAAAAAGTGCTCCTCCCCATGTACATGGAAGGCAGCTTTGTGGAAGTGATTCATGACAAGAAACGGTACCACCTTTCTGAGATTTGCAAAGAATTCCGTTTGCCTTTTAATGTCAAAGTGTCCGTGAGGGACCTTTCCATTGAGGAAGATGTCTTGGCTGCAGTGCCTGGTCTGCAGTTTGAAGAGGAAATCACAGACTCTTACTTGCTGATCAGTAGTGCCACCGATCCAGTGGAGAGCTGGGAGATTCCCGTATATCGCGTAAACATGTTGGTGCATTTGCTCAGCAAAGATGTCCAGGGAATTGTACCACCTGTGACTAAGACAACAGTGGAAGAGATCAGCGAAGAGCAATACTATATGGTGCGAAGATATGAAAACCAAACCCTTCATCCACCGCCTAGGCCTCCCAAAAAGCCAACAACACTTGCACCCAAACTTGCTTTTGCAGTACCTAAGCAAGGTGTGTCTGATGTACTTCGGGCTCCAACGGTAAGGTATCACAGCTTGTCTTTGAATGCCTTATAATCACGGGTCATGTTCTGGGGGTTTAAAGTCTTCATTTCTCCGTTGCATCCTTATGGCATGCACACAGATGTCTCTCAGTTCCCGGTAATAGACAAATTAGCCATTATAGACAAGAATGGCTAAAATCTCCAGTGTGTGTTAATTGATCCATGAAAAACAACAGAACCATGCCGACTCACAGCAGAAATCTTGGCTGTGTAATTTTGCATGGATAATCCTTTACTGCACCATTGTAGAACTGAAGGGAGAGACTCGAAGTGCCTGTATTTAAATCTTTATTAAGGGGAAGCATATGTTTTCGTGATGTAAAGATAATTTTGCTCAGCTGGAAATGGCAGAATTAAGTTCACATAAGGACAGGTCGTATAGAAAGTTTTGAATTCATTGTTTGCACTTACCCAAGTGGCAAATAGGCTTAGGGAAGTGGGGGGGGAGGGCAGGAGAAAGGCAGTCATTTTAGAATAGCACTTGATATTAAGAAAGAAGTGTCCCTTCTAGGACAATTTTCTTCATGTTTAACCCAAAGCAATGCATTGTGTTTTGGATTTGTCACTTAATCAGGATTGACAACACATCAATCTTTTGGCTATCACTCAGCAGTGCACCGACAGCATCAAGGCCTTCTCTATTTCCCATGCTTCCCCCAGAAACCTGGCTGGGGTTGGGACAAGAGGTTGGGAGGGGACACAGATGGGACAGCTGACCCCAACTGACCAAAGGGATATTTCATGATGTATAATGCTATGCTCAGAAATAAAAACTGAGGGGGTGATTGGTCTAGGAAGGTAGCGTAACTCAGAGACTGGCCAGATATCAGTCTACTTGTGGGAGGTGGTGAGTGACTGCCTTTGCATCACAGTTTTTGTGGGTTTTTTTTTCCTCTTTCCTTTGTTTGTTATAGTCTTTATCTCAACCTACGAGTTTTCTTGCTTTTGCTCTTACTGTTTTCTCTCCTGAAGAGATCATCATCCTGATGTCAGGGTGGAATGAGCACGTGGATGGGTGCTTAGCTGCTGGCTGGGGTTAACCCACCACAATTTTCGTGCATACATTGAAAGAATCAAAGGACGCTTGATGGGCTTTAATGAGAGAGACTGTCTAGGAGGTATTTAACTTAGGTTGCAGTTGACCTGATGTGCAAATAAAAATTCCCTACAGGGGAAAAGGAAAATTCCCTACAGGGGAAGAGGGAAAAGCTTTCACGTCTCTGAGTTGTGTTTGTGCTATGCTTATAAATGCAATGTAACTCATGTAATTATATTGTGAGGAGTTCATAGAAATTGTGGGGTTTTTTTTCTTGATTTCAAACTAAAGTCCAGTTGCAGCTCCTCTGAAAGGGCAGCATTTGTGAGTACCTCTCTTTGCCTGCTGGAGGTTTTCCTCCCCTCATGCCAATTCCAAGACTACATGCGAGTTCAAAGCTCCACACAGATCCTGGAAAATAGTTACAACACACCACAGGAGAAGTGAATGAATAAGGGGGTCCCCTCAAATAAGGGTAATACACAAAAAGATGTATCATTTTCTCTGGTCTTTACTACAAAAACTTGTTTTCTATTAATTTGTTCAATAAACACTCTAGCATCTTAAGTAAGCCATCCTGTTAGGCGAGGCAGGATACATGAGAAACTTGTCCCCAAGCTGATAGGAAAGCAATCAGCCTGGTACTGTTCTGGGGTACAGAACTGGGGAAAAATTCCCTGAAGTTGTGTTTCTGGTAGACTTGTACTCATGTCAGGAAAGTTAGATCTCCTGCAGTTAGTGATGACTATGTGCGGAGAAAAGCAGGTGGATGCTTCTTCCAGATAAGGTTTATGCAGAAGATGATATTTTCCTGAAGTGAGGTGAGAGCAAAAAAGAGCAGGAAAGAGATGAGCTGAGGTTCATTTCCGCATTCATGCATTCATGAGTGAGAGCAGCCTTAGACAGCAGCTGTCCAGACAAAGGAGATAATTTAAACACTATTTCAGAAGACTTTTTTTTTTGTCTCATATTTGTTATAAATAAATAATAAACTGCAGTCAGAAGGCTTAGATTATGCAGATTTGTAAATCTTCCCTGGGAAAGTGAAATAAGTAGAGATCCTTATTCATTAGATTAAACATCCTGAGCGGTAACATATTGGTTTTAAAGTCACACAGAATGCATTATCTTTTCTATCCCAAGCACCATGAGTCCTCTGAGAGGACGTGAATGGTAGCAGCTAGGCTCTGCCTTGGCCCCTCTGCAGCATTAGGGGAGACTGCACTTTCTTTTACATGCATCAGGAATGTCTGAAGTTGGAAATTGTGCCAAACTGATAAACAGCCCTCTTTGCATATTTGTGACTATGCATAGGTTTATTTACATAAATAACAGATGAGCGTCCTAATGAGCTGAACTTAAGCCTGACAAGGTGGCAGCCTGGAATAAGCTTTAGTGCTGCATGAGTTGCCGTGCTCCTCCTGCAGGCAGCTCCCTGCCTGGTGCTTGGGGAGCTCTGGCTGCTTGCTGGAGGGTGGTAAATGGCTTCCTTGCCCACCAGTTGGGAAGCTCTGCTTGGCTTGGAGCTCCAGGATTAAATGCTGCTGCTGCTACATGAGTCCACAGAGGACTAAAATCTGTCTGTTTTATGCCAGTACCTGAGGATAATCTGCAAGAGTGGGTCACCTTTTGCTACAGCTTGTGCTCTGATCGCCTCTTAGCTCACAGCAAGGCTGTGAGGGCAGAGAGGCTCCAGCTGTCTCTTCCTGCTGTTCCCTGACCTTGGTAGGGGAACGCTAGGGCCAGGAGCAGGACTGTATGCTTCACTGAGTACTTTTGGTCATGTTAGTCACTGAATTGTGTGAGACAGCAGCCAGCATAGACTGGAACCTCACACGAGTGTAAGAACTGCCTCTACTTGTGTGCAAGGTGCAGTGCTGCAGAGAAATGGATGTTTGCACAGTTCAGCAAAGTCCAGAGACAGCACATGAATTCTCAAACATAATATAGCTGCATTAACCAAGCACTCTGTCGAGTCTCTTCACAGGGCTAATTAAGTTGGCTCAGGTCCTGCTGATACAGCTTTCCCTTCCAGAGCCTGGGGATCTCTCCTCTCCCCTCCACAGTACAGCATAGACTTTCCCTTTCTCTCTCATATGAACATTGTGTGAGTAAGAAACATACAGATCATATATGTTTGCAGTTTTGGATTACTTTCTAATTGAATAAACGAACCATGAGCAAATATGTGTAAACTAAACAAATGAAACAAAATAGTTTGTACTGAATGATGAAATGAATCTATCTCATATAGCAGATACCTACTTAAAATGAATAGAAGATAGCAGATATCTATCCAATAACCAATACCACCTCTACCTACAAGCACCCCCAACTGAGGACAGAATGACAAACCAACTTGTACCCTTTGTCTTATTGTAAAATGCAGAATACAAGCAGTCATTTAGCAGAAGTACACATTTTCCTGGCTGGAATAAAGTTCACAAGGGGATCTAATGACGTGTTGAATTAAATTGGATAAGTCATTCAGTTTCTGATTTGTGAGCTTATGTAGAAAGTGAGAATGGTCAAATAAAACCCTAGAAGTTAATGCTACTGATTTGAGAATGGGGCATCTCACTTTCTTGCCATGTTGGTCCTGGAGAGAAGTTCCTTGGAGAGGAAGCAGTCAGGACTTCACTTTCTTGAAATGAAAATTCATTTAAAGGGAACAAGACAGATGTGTTTATTCTGTCTCCATAGTTACAACCACCACTATGAATGTAAGAAAACCAAGTTTTCACTTAGTAACTCCATTGAAAATTGGTATTCTAAATTTCCTTTTTACCTGCTGCCTGTTTCCTCCCATTCAAGCAGCAAAACCTTTCTAGCTTTCTCTTTGCCTATTAATTGAAGCTGTAAATATCCTACAGATTTAAGAAGGTGCTAATATATGTCCCTCGATGGTATTGTATTAAATTGAAACAGAGAAAAGCCCACACCAAATATTGCTAAATACAATCTTAATCAATGCATGGAATGCCACAGTTTAGTCCTAATACCCTGTTACTCCTAATACAGTTACTCCTAATACCCTGAGTGCACTAAGCGCACTACTTAAGGGACAAAAAAGGCAGTATTTCACTCCTGATGAAGAGAAGTTAGCTCCATCCAATGTTATTTTCGATGGTCTGTTTAGTCATGTATCTAACCTGAGCAACAATAGAATCAGTAAAATACTCAGCAGCTGGATTTTTGTTAAATACCTTTATGAATGCGGTACTGGAAAAGTCAGTTTCAGGCAGTAATTGGTTCATCTCTGGCAAGAAAGCTGAAAGAACTCTAGCCAGGGAAACTGGAATTTAATAAAATAGGAGTATCAGGGCATGATAGTTGATCGTCATTTTGTGCTAGGGTCCGTTATCCTTCCAGAAGTCATTACAGTGTTATGATATCAGTAACTTTCTTGCTCTCTCGCTTTTTATTTCAAAATTAAAATGAAAGAAAAATTATCACTTCCATCTGTCTTTACAGTTCTACAAACTGAACTATCAAAATCTGCCATTAAGATATTTATCACATCTGTCTTCACAGCAAAATGAAGACTTATCTGGAATTAAGTTGATAAGACATAAGCTGCATTTCTCAGCAAATGAGTTTTCCTGCAGTGTCTTCTTTCCTTCCTCATAACTATTTCTTTTCTGCTTCCAGAGCATTTCTGACATTTTTGGCACCTTTATGGAGTAGATTTAACACAAATATTTCTGCTGTGTAACAAGAAACTAACCTTCCTAAACAAATGCATGTTAGAAAATGCACACTGGACAGCCGGGAAGGAATAGGTAAGAACAGGCATTAGGAATTAACAGTCTTTTGGCTCTGGAAATGAAGAGAAATGTGGTTCATTAGCAGATGCAGAAATACGCATATGCAAACGTGAGAAGAAGGGTTTGTCTCTGACAGGTGCAGCATTGTGGCAGCTGAGGTGGCAGCTGTGCTTC